GGGGTGAGGGGTGAGGGGGCGAGGGGGAATGAATAGGCAGGGATGTTGGGCTTGACGCCAGGAACATTTTTTTTTTTTTTTTTTTCTTTTTTTGTCTCTCTTTCTCTGTTTCTGTCTCTTTCTCTCTTTCTATTTCTTGTCTTTTCCTTCTCCATTTTTGTCTTGTTTTTTTCTTTCTCCCTTTTTTCCTTCTTTTTGTTCCTTTTCTCTATTTTCTGTCCTTTTTCATGTCTTTTCCTTCTCCATTTTCTCCTTCTTTTTGTTTCCTTTCTCTTTTTTTTCTTTCTCCTTTTTCATCACATTTCCTTTTCTCTCCATTTTCTTCTCTCTTCTTTTCATATTATTTCTTCCTTCTTTTTTCCTTCTCTCTTTTTTCTTGCTTTCTTCCTTTCCTTCTATTTTTCATTTTTTCCTTTTTTTTTCCTTTTTCCCTTCTCATTTCTTTCTTTCCTTTTCTTTTTTTTCTTTTCTTTCTTTCCTTTCTTTTTTCTCTTTCTTTTTCTTTTTCAATTATTGATTATTGTTGTTATTGTTTCTATTATTATCATGGTTATTATGGTCTTTATCATTATCATCATTGATATTATTATCACTAACATCATAATCACCATTATCATCATCATTAATATGATTATAATTAGCATTATCAGTCTCATTATAATTATCATATAGGCATCCATACATTTTTTCTCCTCTCCCGAACTCCAAATATGGCAAGGTGGATTTTTGTCTTCCTTAACTCTCTATGTTATCTTAATTTTGGCACTATTGCATTTTAATCCTTTTTTCTCTTCATCCTTCTTCTTTCTGCATATATTCATACATGTATATGAATATATGTATATGTATATGTATATGTATATATATATATATATATATATATAATATATAATATATATATATATATATATATATATATATATATATATATATTTCTCATATACACATTTTCTCATACTTCTCTTTCTCCCTCTCGCCTCCCTCAGATCTCTCTCTCTCTCTCTCTCTCTCTCTCTCTCTCTCTCTCTCTCTCTCTCTCTCTCTCTCTCTCTCTCTCTCTCTCTCTCTCTCTCTCTCTCTCCTCCTTTCTTTATCTCGTCCTATTTTGCTTCGTTTTATCCTTTAATCTCCGCCTCTCTGTCTCTGCCTGTTTGGTGTCTCCTTCCTTTAGTGTGTTAATTTATTACGCCTTTTTGTTCCTTCATCATCATTATTTCTCCTCTTTTATCACGCCCTCTCCCTTCATTTTCTTCTTCTCCTCTCTTTATCTTCTTGTTCGGACTCCTTCAGGATTTAGTGAAGAACGACCTGGCCCTCAGGAGGTCATCCTCGAAGCCAGTAAGTCGCCCTCCATTGAGGAATAACGACACATTAATACTTCAGAAGCTGCGTGTGGGTGCCAGGGATATATGAACTCTCGTCGGCAAAGGGTTAAAAGCCAATAGATTAAATGGCAAAGGGTTAAAAGCCAATAGATTAAATGGCAAAGGGTTAAAAGCCAATAGATTAAATGGCAAAGGGTTATCTATTCCGTTGTGTCGTCCTGTTGTTTATCGCTTGTGAGATATTGGAGAAGAGCAGATATTCTTTATTTAAGTTTCGTTGGCTCGGGATGAACAGAAAAGGTTTATTTTGAGGAGAAATGGTTTATTTTCTGTCGTATCTGTGTATGTTAGTGTTCATCGTTTAGCAGGGGCTTCAGGGAGACCTCAATATCTGCTTTCAACAATGAAATCATTGTTGTTTTCTTTATGTGATGTTCTCAAGTGTGAAATCTAATCGTTCTTGGTTGGAATATGTAATTGACTTCCCTGGGATATCTAACCTTTTAAAAATCTTTAATGGTTTCTCGACAAGGATATCTAACGTTTCTAGAAAATAAACTCCACGTTTATTTCTTGGAAAATCTAACAATTCTCGAACTTAAAATCCAACGTTTCCAGCTGGTAAATCTATCGTTCCACAGATATGAAGTCTGACGTTTCTCGAGTATAAAATCTAATAATGATAATAATAATGAATAAGAAAGATAAATAAAAAAATAGAATCATGCATGAAATGATTTTTCGAATCTAGAACGACTTGCTCTGTGTCTCGAAGTCTTTTTAAGTATTGATATTTCTTATCTATTATCATTGTTATTTCTTCTTTACCTCAAATGCGACGCATATGAGTCTGAAACAATACAATTGTTCACAAATCAAATATTTGCCTCTTAAATATACAACTACTCACTTTCTTACTCACTTTAAGACCTACACTTTCGCAATCACTTACAAATTTTTCACAAATTCACTTTTCCGGCATCGTAGTCAACTTGCCGGATTTTTGAAATCTTGCTTACCTATTTCCCCGACTGATGCAACAGGATTCCCACAGCAACAGAAACAGGCGTTCAGTTCTGTCTGAACCGACTTTAACATTCTGAACAATACCACTACGCTTCTGTTATTGTTGCAATTGATTGAAACTGCAGGTCATGCTTTGTCTTGTTAGTTTA